ACTGAGCCCTAGTCTGTTGCAGCTTCACCTACGTGCCCATCCTGCCAGCTCAGCTCCTGGAGGTGCTCAGCACGCCCACGCCCTTCATCATCGGGGTCAACGCCGCCTTCCAGGCCGAGACCCAGGAGCTGGTGAGGGCTCAGCCCGCTGCTGACCACGGACTCACGGACAGTGTCCACTGATGACCATGACTTCATGGACAGTGTCCCCATTGCTGACCATGGCTGCACAGAGAGGGTCCCCGCTGCTGAGACAGACTCACAGACAGTGTCCCCTCTGCTGACAGTCATGAGGCACCCTTACCCCGCCCCACCCCCACAGCTAGACGTGATCATTGCTGATCTTGATGGAGGCACGGTGACCGTCCCCGAGTGTGTACACGTCCCACCCCTGCCAGAACCTCTGCAGAGCCAGACCCACAGTGTGCTGAGCATGGTGAGCACCTGCGCGGTGGACTAGGGACCCCAGCACTGGGAGCTGGCGGCCCCCTGAGTCCTGCTCCCTGCCCCTCAGGTCCTGGATCCAGAACTAGAGCTGGCTGACCTAGCCTTCCCACCTCCCACAACCTCCTCCTCCTCCCTGAAGATGCAGGTGGGTGCTCTGGGGTGGTTGGGGGCCTGGGTGGGGCGGGCCTGGAGCACCACCCTCACCAACCCCACCCACAGGACAAGGAGCTTCGGGCTGTCTTCCTGCGGCTCTTTGCGCAGCTGCTGCAGGGCTACCGCTGGTGCCTGCATATTGTGCGCATCCACCCTGAGCCAGTCATCCGCTTCCACAAGGTGGGCTCCGCGATGGCCCAGGCGGTGGCAAGGGTCCCTGGGCAGGGTCCCCAGAGCTGAGCCCCGTGTGCCCCCAGGCAGCCTTCCTGGGCCAGCGGGGGCTGGCGGAAGACGACTTCCTGGTGAAGGTGCTGGAGGGCATGGCCTTTGCAGGCTTCGTGTCGGAGCGTGGCGTCCCCTACCGGCCCACGGACCTGTTTGATGAGGTGCACCCTGCCCTGGCCCAGCCTGCCCACCCTGACCCCTGGCCTCCTGGGGAGCCCCCGCCCTGACCCCTGGCCTCTAGGGAAGCCCCCTCCCTCCTTGGCTAACTGCCTGCCCTGTCCCACAGCTGGTGGCCCACGAGGTGGCACGGATGCGGGCCGATGAGAGCCACCCCCATCGGACCCTGCGGCACGTCAGGGAACTAGCAGAGCAGCTGTATAAGAACGTAGGGCTGGTGGGGAGGGCGGAGGGGGCGGGTGGGGGCGGGGAGCAGGGCCCGCCCCTCAAACTGCCCTGTTCCAGGAGAACCCGTACCCTGCGGTGACGATGCACAAGGTGCAGCGGCCGGCAGAAGCCAGTCACCTGCGCCGTGCACCACGGCCCTTCCCCCGGCTGGACGAGGGCACCGTGCAGTGGATCGTGGACCAGGCCACCGCCACGCTGCAGGGCGCACCTCCGGCCGTGCGGGCCGAGAAGAGGACCACTGTGCCCTTGGGGCCCCCCATGAGTGCGTTGGGCTGGGTCTGGCTCCCCCGCGCCCCCCTCCCCCACCTGGGGCTGGTGGCTGAGTGTCCTCTGCCCTCACAGCCGCCATCCTTGAGAGGAGCAGTGCATTGCACGCCAACAGCGCGCGCCGGCTGGAGGTGGTCCGCAGCTGCATTGCCTATGTGTTCGAGGGGAAGATGCTGGAGGCCAAGAAGGTGGGGGCAGGTGCCCGGCTGCTCACAGGCTCAGACCCCCAGCCAGGGTCCCTGTGGGCTGCAGTGGGCAGGCAGATGAGTGGGTGCAGATTCGTGTTGTGAGGTGCTCTCTGCATCTTCCCAGAGGCCAGGGTGCCCGAAAGGGGCACACACTGCTCTGTCCTCACCAGCCCCTTGAGTGGGGAGCTCCAGGTTGTGGGGGAGGGGCTTGTGTGGGCGAGGGCATGTGCAGGTGAGCTGCTGATGGAGGGGTTCAGGGACCCGCCAACCCCATCTCTGGCTGCTGTGAATGCAGCTGGGAGCCGGGCCTGGCCTATGTCTGTGTGTGCCTGTGAGCACGTGAGTGTGCATGGCAGCCCTGCCCTGGGTCTGGCTGCCTTCAGTGCATGCTGTGTGGTTGTGGTAGGTGGACAGAGCCGGGCCTGGCCTGGCCCGTGTCTGGTGTGCACTGCCTGGCCCGCCTCATGCTCCCCATCCCACGTTTGCCTCCCACTGGCTGCGCCCCTGTGACCTGACCGTGTCCCTAGTTGCTGCCGGCTGTGCTGAGGGCCCTGAAGGGCCGTGCTGCCCGCCACTGCCTCACCCAGGAGCTACACCTCCACGTGCAGCAAAACAGGGCCGTCCTGGACCATCAGCAGTTTGACTTTGTCGTTCGCATGATGAACTGCTGTCTGCAGGTGAGCACCCCTCCCATGGGGGCGGGAGGAGGTTGGCGACGTTGGCGTCTCAGGCCACGCTGAGGGCCACCTCTGCCTAGGACTGCACCTCCATGGATGAGCATGGTGTCGCGGCTGCCCTGCTACCTCTGGTCACTGCCTTCTGCCGGGTGAGTGTCAGCAGGCCCGCATCACAATGTGCTCACCACCTAGCCCCAGTCTGCTGACCCCATCCAGTTCCCAGCCCACTGATCCACCCGCCGGCCCCACAGAAGCTGAGCCCCGGGGTGACGCAGTTCGCGTACAGCTGTGTGCAGGAGCACGTGGTGTGGAGCACGCCGCAGTTCTGGGAGGCCATGTTCTACGGGGACGTGCAGACTCACATCCGGGCCCTCTATCTGGAGCCCGCTGAGGACCACACTCCCTCCCAGGTGAGCGGACGGCTGAGTGGGGCGGTCTGGCCGGCCAGCTGGTGGGCTGAGCTCACGGCTGTGCCGGTGCAGGAGATGGGGGAGGTGGCCCTGCAGCAGGAGGAGCGGTCGGCGCTGGACGTGGCCTCAGAGCAGCGGCGTCTGTGGCCGACTCTGGACCGCAAGAAGCAACAGGAGTTTGTGCAAAAGGAGGAGAGCACGGTGTTCAGCCAGGCCATCCACTACGCCAGCCGCATGAGCTACCTCCTGCTGCCCCTGGACAGCAGCCGGGGCAGGTTCTTGCGGGAGCGTGCGGGCCTGGGTGAGCTGGAGAGTGCCAGCAACAGCCTGGTCACCAACAGGTGCGCCCCTGCCCCTGCCCCAGCCCACTCACCCCACCCCTGCCCAGGCCTGCTCTGCGGCCCTGCCCACATGCCACCCCCCGACAGCATGGCGGGCAGCATGGCGGGCAGCTATGACACAGAGAGTGGCTTTGAGGATGCAGAGACCTCCGACGTGGCTGGGGCTGTGGTCCGCTTCATCAACCGCTTTGTCGACAAGGTCTGCACGGAGAGTGGGGTCACCAGCGACCATCTCAAGGGGCTGCATGTCATGGTGCCAGGTATGGGGGGCTGGGGCCTGACTCCCTCCCGTGGGGTGGCTGTGGACGGCCTGGCCTGAGACCTGCTCCCCTCAGACATCGTCCAGATGCACATTGAGACCCTTGAGGCCGTGCACCGGGAGAGCAAGAGACTGCCGCCCATCCAGAAGGTGGGGGCTGCGGCCATGGGCGGGGGAGGGGGGCCAGGGGGGTAGGGCCACCACCGCCTCCTGAGGTTACTCCCCACCCTTGCAGCCCAAGTTGCTGCGGCCACGCCTGCTGCCCGGCGAGGAGTATGTGCTGGATGGTCTCCGTGTCTATCTGCTCCCCGACGGGCGTGAGGCAGGGGCCGGCGGCAGTGGGGGGGGGCCCGCGCTGTTGCCGGCTGAGGGCGCCATCTTCCTCACCACATATCGAGTCATCTTCACAGGCATGCCCACTGACCCCCTGGGTGAGCCTCCAGACCCCCTTGCCCCTCCACAGGCCCCTCGTCTCCGTCTCCTCACACCTCCCCCTTTTTCCCAGCCCTGACCCTCCCAGCACCCCCATGCCCACGTCCCTGCTAGCCTCTCCCAGCCTCTTCTCAGCCCTTCAACATCCCTGTTTCCGGCACCCTTCCCCCACCCCTGCTGAGCTCCACAGCCCCGTCCCTGCCCCTCCCCAGTCCCCCAGCGCCCTCACCCCTGCTCCCCAGCCCCGTCCCTGTCCCCAGCCTCTGACCCCAGCTGCTCTTAGTCGGGGAGCAGGTGGTAGCCCGCTCCTTCCCGGTGGCCGCGCTGACCAAGGAGAAGCGCGTCAGTGTGCAGACCCACGTGGACCAGTTCCTGCAGGATGGGCTCCAGCTACGCTCTTGCACCTTCCAGGTGGGCCTCACAGGGACTGCCAGGTGTGCACCTTCCTGGTCAGCCCCACCAGGCTTAGGGCCCTGGTGCTGGTGGGGGCCTCCAGAGTGGCCAGTCCACAGCGCACCGGCTGAGTTGTCAGTCCAGTAAGAGCCTTGTGCCTGTCCCTCCCATGGGGGTGGGGCCTGTGGGCAGTCCCCTGAGACATCAGAGTGGGGGCTGTGTGCACAAGCTCCCTTTGCAGGGATCTGAGCCTGTCCCATAGCCTCAGGTTTGTGTGTGTGTGTGTGTGTATCTCTCTCTCTCTCTCTCTGGCAGCTGCGGAGGGAGGGCTCTGGTGTGTGTGTATGTGTGTCTGATGGCTGCAGAGGGAGGGTCCTAGCGTCCTGGTGTGTGTGTGTGTGTGTGTGTGTCTGTGTCTGTCTGGCGGCTACAGAGGGAGGGCCCTGGTGTGTGTGTGTGGTGTCTGGTGGCAGCGGAGGGAGGGCCCTGTGTGTGTGTGTGTATGTGTGTGTGTGTGTGTGTCTGGCGGCTACAGAGGGAGGGCCCTGGCTGCCAAGCAGGTGCTCAGGGTACCCTGTTTCTCACAGCTGCTCAAGATGGCCTTTGATGAGGAGGTGGGCTCCGACAGTGCCGAGCTCTTCCGCAAGCAGCTGCACAAGCTGCGGTACCCCCCTGACGTCAGGGACACCTTCGCCTTCATTGGGGGAGCCGTGCACGCACCCAGCCGGCCAGCCCGTGCCACCAAGGACAAGGGGCCATCCCTCAAGTATGGCTCCTTCCCCAGCATGGCCTTGACCAGCGTGTGGGCACCCTCCTGTCCTGCTCACCCTGCCCACCCGATTGCTCCACAGAACCCTCTCCCGGAACCTGGTGAAGAATGCCAAGAAGACCATGGGGAGGCAGTACGTGACGCGCAAGAAGTACAACCCCCCCAGCTGGGAGCCCCGTAGCCAGCCCCCCGACGACGACCAGGAGGACGCCATCTCAGGTGAGGCAGTGGCCAGGTGGCTCCTCTGGACACTGCTCTGTGTGCTGATGACCGCTAGCTGACCCCAGGTGCTGACCACGTGCTGCCTCTGCAGTGTCGGACGAGCCAGAGCCCAGCACGTTGACCCCCACGTCAGCGCTGAAGCCCTCTGACCGCATGACCATGAGCAGCTTGGTGGAGCGGGCGTGCTGCCGTGACTACCAGCGCCTGGGCCTGGGCACGCTCAGCAGCAGCCTGAGCCGCGCCAAGTCTGAGCCCTTCCGCATCTCACCGGTCAACCGAATGTACGCCATCTGCCGCAGCTACCCTGGGCTGCTGATCGTGCCACAGAGCGTCCAGGACAACGCCCTGCAACGCGTGTCACGCTGCTACCGCCAGAACCGCTTCCCTGTGGTGTGCTGGCGCAGTGGGCGCTCGAGGGCCGTGCTGCTGCGTTCCGGCGGCCTGCACGGCAAGGGTGTCGCTGGCCTCTTCAAGACCCAGAACGCCCCATCACCAGGTGTGCCCACCGCCCACCTCTCCGCCGGTGCCACGCCCACAGGCTGGCCAGGGCCCACCCACTCAGTGCCCCTCCCTCCACAGGCCAATCGCAGACAGACTCGGGCAGCCTGGAGCAGGAGAAGTACCTGCAGGCCGTGGTTAGCTCCATGCCACGCTACGCCGACGCCTCGGGGCGCAACACCCTGAGTGGCTTCTCCTCTGCCCACCTGGGTGGCCATGGTGAGGGCCCTGCCCTGCCCCCACCTCATGGGTCCCCATGCTCTCGGCCTTCAGTCACTGTGGCCACATCTGCAATGGAGCCACTGCTGCTCTGTGCTCCGTCCCTACCTCCCCTCCTCCTCCCCCTGCACCCCGACTGGCTAAAGGTAGGCTCTACTCTGGACTCTTGCCACTTTTCCACCTCTCCCCTCCCCTGTGCCCGCCTTCACACTTCTTTGCCTGGCGGTCGAGTGGGACCCATTCCTGCCCCCTCCTGCGTTCCTTCCCACACCGCCAGGCTGCTCCCCTCTGTCCTCTGAGGGTTTCTGAGGTTCAAATGGAGCCTGGAGTGTGGACAGCGCCTCTTTGTCCCTCCCCACCACCCCCCAGGCTCCCTGACCCCGTGGCAGAGCTCACCTCGGCCGTCCTTCATAGTGGGGGCCCCAGGAGGCACCCCGACCCCTGGCAGGCATCAATGGAGCCCTGACCCCTGTGGTGGAGACCACTGTTGTTACTCTGGGGCAGCTCCCACCAGGGTACCCTGGCCCTGTGGTCAGGGTCATCTCAGGTCATTCCTTGTGAAGGCCACCCGACTCTGTGGCCTGTCAGTGTTCCCGGGGCACCCATGACCTTTGCTGCCTCCCTGGCCTGTCCCCCACCTCCATCCCCTTGACGTCCCCAAACATTTGGCTGTCTCCCAGCCTCACCTCCAGGGTCCCCTGCTGGCATGTGTGTGTTGGGGCTCAGTCCGGACTCTGGTCCTTCGCAAGGGCACAGCATATTAGTGATGGGTGCCCTCACGTTTGTTTGAGGCGGGCACTGGGACCCCCACCCCACTTAGCCCTGGGTTGGCTCATGCTCCTCTGAGGTAAGTGCGCCTGGGAGGGAGGATCTCTGGCCTCTGGGGACAGAGGTGGTGGCAAGAGAAGAAAGGATGGAGCTGAGCCGGAGTGTGCAGGCGTGGGGTGGGCCTGGGCCCGGGACCCAGCTGCTTTATACTCTGGGGGTCTTGTTCCAGATTCTGCTGCCAGGCTGGCTGGGCAGCATGTGGTGGGTGCCCGGGCAGCTGAGCCTTCTTTTTGCTTGCCCCCAGCTCCCAGTCCCCGAGCCAGGGTCACTACGCTGTCCAACCCCATGGCGGCCTCGGTCTCCAGACGGACCGCGCCCCGAGGTACCGTACCAGGCCGCCCAGCCCAGGCCTGTGGCCGGCACTAACGCCCCTCGCGGCGCGGCACTGCATCCTCACACCAGCACTCACTGCTCTTGAGTAAAGGCCTGTGTCCCCCACACCTGAGGCACTAACAGCCCGATGCCCCCACTAACTAGGGCAGTGGCCTCTTTCCTAGACCTACTCCGCCCCCACTCACTGTCTGACCCGGCAGGGAAATGGGGCAGCATCCGGGCGAGTGGACGAAGCAGCGGCGGTGGTGTTGGCATGGACGTGGGCTCCCGGTTGGCGGGGAGAGATGTGCTGGGCCCTCCACAGCCCAATGGGGCGCCCCCGGACCCCGGCTTCCTGCGGCCCCAGCGTGCAGCCCTCTACATCATCGGGGACAAGGCTCAGTTCAAGGTGGCAGACGGGTGGGGCTGAGCCGGGTGGGCGCTGGGCCCTGCCTCCCTGTGGCCTCTGACAGCGCGGCCCCCCCAGGGTGTACGTCAGGACCCTTTGCAGCAGTGGGAGCTGGTGCCCATCGAGGTGTTTGAGGTGCGGCAGGTGAAGGCCAGCTTCAAGAAGCTTCTCAAGGCCTGCGTCCCGGGCTGTGCCGCTGCCGAGCCTGGCCCTGCCTCCTACCTGCGTTCACTGGAGGACTCCGAGTGGCTGAGCCAGGTTTGCGGGGCCGGCTTTGCTGCTTTGATAACTTGCCCCCCAGGAGGTGCATGTGTGGTTGGAGGGGGTTCCAGCCCCCCACCACTAATCACAGGGTTTGATAGGGACAGTTGTACGGTTGAGATACATAAAGATTATTATAAAGTCATAGCATGAGAGATTGAATTAATGGAGTCTGACACATTTCATGGTAGCATGCTCACCTCCTGGATGACCATGATCTTACCAGCTAGGTCCGCGCACAGTGTGGGCCAAGGCGAGGTGGGACAGGGACCCAGCAGGATGCTTGAGGACTGGGCAGGAGGCTAGAGGACAGGCAGGAGTTACTGCTCACCAGGGGTTATAGCTACTTCGGGGGCATGATTACAGGTAACCACATGTCACAGGAAGGGGCAATACAATAGGCATACACGTCATAGGAAGGGGCTGTACAAATGATAGGAAGGGGAGGAACTAGAGGCATACATATGACAAGATGGGCAGACCCTAGATTCATGATGGCAGTTTAACCTCGGTCACCCTTGGGTGGGCTTGACCTCTCTGGGGTCTCCTACAAGGAACTACTATCCCTATCAGAAGGGAGTGGGCCCTACTTGTTGTGGGATAAACAGTGGGGACTGCTTGCTCTAGATGGCTGATAGCTCTTAGGGAAAATAACCCCTGAGCTACTTCTGATGACCTCCAAGGGTGTAGTCGTTCGCAAGCAGCTAATTTGGCAACTTAGGAGAAATCCTTGTTTCCCACATGCATGGTTGGCACCACTGATGTGGGGTGGCTTGGATGTGGCATGGGCTGCACCCTGCTGTGCCCTGATGGCCAGGGTGGGGCCCAAGGGCAGAGGCAGGTGCTAGGCCAGCTGGGCTGTGAGTGCTGTGTCCACCAGCGTGTGTGTGTGTGTGTGTGTGTGTGTGTGTGTGTGTGTGGCGGACCCAGTGGCCTGGCGGGAACTGTGGGGCCGCGTGGGCTGGGCTCAGCTCACACCAGCCCCAGGACCCCAGGACATGCTGGCTACTCTAGAACTGGGCGGGTTTGGGCAGGGGGTGCCCTGGGCTGGGGCAGGCCTGGGGTTCTGGGGTCTCGACATGATCAGAGGTAGGGCCGCCCTCAGGCCTGGCGTGGTGATGGGCGTCTCTGCAGATCCACAAGCTGCTGCGCGTGTCTGTGCTGGTGGTGGAGCTGCTAGACTCGGGCTCCTCCGTCCTCGTCAGCCTGGAGGATGGCTGGGACGTCACCACCCAGGTGCGCTGGAGGGATGGGGCTTGGCGGGAGGATGCGTGCGGAGCCGGGGATGGGGACTGGGTCCTCACGAGCAGGCCTGCAGGTCGTGTCGCTGGTGCAGCTGCTCTCGGACCCCTTCTACCGCACCCTAGAGGGCTTCCGGCTGCTGGTGGAGAAGGAGTGG